ACACTCTTGTAGGACACTCTTGTGGGATACTCTTGTCGGACACTCTTAAGGGACACTCCTGTGAGACACTCTTGAGCGACACTGTTGCGGGACACTCTTGTGGGACACTCTTGTGGGACACTCTTGTAGAACACTCTTGTGGGACAGTCTTGTCGGACACTCTTGTGGGACACTCTTGTGGGACACTCTTGTGGGACACTCTTGTGGGACACTCTTGTGGGACACTCTTGTAGGACACTCTTGTGGGGCACTCTTGTGGGACACTCTTGTGCGACGCTCTTGTAGGAAACTCTTGTGGGACACTCTTGTAGGACACTCTTGTGGGACACTCTTATAGGACACTCTTGTGGGACACTCTTGTGGACACTCTTGTGGAACACTCTTGTGGGTCACTCTTGTCCGAAACTCTTGTGGGACACTCTTGTGGGACACTCTGTGGGACACTCTTGTGGGACTCTCTTGTGGGACACTCTTGTAGGATACTCTTGTGGGACAGTCTTGTAGGACACTCTTGTTTGACACTCTTGTGGGACACTCTTGTAGGACACTCTTGTGGGATACTCCTGTAGGACACTCTTAAGGGACACTCTTGTGAGACACTCTAGCGGGACACTGTTGGGGGACACTCTTGTGAGACTCTCTTCCAGCTCCCCAGATACTCCGCGTACTCAACTACGAAGTCGCCAGTTCTCAGCTTCCAGCTCCACACATTCCTCCACGTACTAGTTGTACTACAAGGTCGCCAGTTCTCAGCTTCGAGCTCCACAGATTGCTCCGCGTACTCAAGTTGTACTGCAAAGTCGCCAGTGCTCGCCTACATTTCGCGCGCTCCACACGCACGATCTCCGCAGAGGGTTGCGCGGGCACCGGACGAATCGCACTCTCGCCTGCATTTCGCGCGCGCTCGACACGCGCGATCTCCGCAGAGGGTTGCGTGCGCATGGGGCAAATCGCACTCTCGCCTGCATTTCGCGCACTCGACGCGCACGATCTCCGCAGAGGGTTGCGCGCGCATGGGTCAAATCGCACTCTCGCCTGCATTTCGCACACTCGACGCGCACGATTTCCGCAGAGGGTTGCGCGTCAAGTCTCCAAAACGAGCGTTTCGTACGAGACTTCCTCAAAAACTCGCACGTCAAAGTCTGCAAAACGAGCGTTTCGTACGAGACTTCCTCCAAAAGTCAAGCAGAAACACCCATCGGAGCACGCACATCACGCAGCCCTGCCAAGCAGTTTCGCGATTCCAGCCCCTCCAAACAACATCCGCTCACACGCCAATCCCAATGTGACAGCGACATTCACCTCTACCACAACTCACAACCTGCCACGAATCTTTCCCCATCCACACGACGTCTAACGCGCACAAAGTACTGCGCCTGCCACGAAATGTCACCTCCCTCACACCTCCCAACCTCACGATTCCCTGCGCCTGCCACGAGAATCGCAGTTCCACGCCTCAAAACCCGCACGAAGTCCTGCGCCTGCCACGAAAAGTGACAATATCATCGCATGTGAGCTTCAACAAAATTTGCACCACACCACACGTTTGGAATGATTTCGACCCGTTCAGAGCACACTCCCATCCACGAAAATCGCCATTTCAGCTGAGACTTGTCACGAAAACCGAGCTTCGATGCCACACCCTGAAACGCAAATCCCAATGGCACGGCCACGATTCTCCAAACGCTAATCCCAATGGCACTGCGCAGCAAACTGCGGATCTCACAAAACGCTGCGCCTGTGCAGCGAAATGCATCACGTTTCTCGCGCGACATGTCCGTGTCACGCAAATCACAATGGAATAGCGGCGCAAACTGACACGTGACACGTCCACGCAAAGTCACTTGCAAAAGCTTCCCCCAATGGCAGCAAATTTGAGACGCGACGACGACACGACGACGAGAGACGACGACAGACGACGACAGACGACGAGAGATGACAACAAACGACGACACGACGCAAGCCATGCGAACACAGCTCCAACCCCCAGACCCCCAACTATAAACGGGAACCCTTCGCTACGCATTCGGGAAAAATGGAACCACCGAAGGGTCAGTGGATAACCTTTTCTTTCTTATATATTCGGGACTGGTTTGCCCCCTTCTGCAACCCAAGAGGTGGAAAAAGGGGTTCGAATCAGCACCAACCAGGAAATGGGTGGTTGGATAGACGCGTTCCTGACGATGTATTTTCCATCCCATCACCACCCTGCACCACTGGGTGGTGCTGGATGGAGCCGCCGCCTTCGATCAGGAGTTGAAATACATGGCCGTGGCCTTCCACCGTGCTGGCTTGGAGTTTCTACGCGAGTCCTTGAATGGATGCATGTTTTACTGGCAGAAAGAGCCTTGGTATTGCTGGAAGCTGGAAACAGGTGAGACCATGGAACCAATATTGACAGTGGAAACAAGCATCTCCTCGCAAGCGCGACGGACAGTGAGATGGATGCTGGGGTACATGGAGAAAAGACCTCTTTTGACCACAGAAATCCGTGTAACTCTCGACAGAACGTGTACAGAGAGCTGGGAGGTCCAATTTGCTGCCACTCCATTTCGAACTGAAACAATTGCAGGCTTCAGCCCCGCTGACCTTTTCAGGACAAATGGTCTTCACTTGTTCCAATCCCAGAACACCTGAAACTAGTCACCCCCCACCATCGCGTTGAGCGAGCCACGTTGAGAACCCCACAGCCCAGTTTGCAGCAATCAGTTCACGCAATGGCCTGAAGTGATGACCCGGCCCATCCTCAGCCACCAACATATTTCCCTTCCCTTCTTTGGATCGACTGCCGTGTTTGAACAACTGTGTGGCGAGGACAAGATCCTGATGCACTCGTGGGATATCTTCAAGGGCGAGCTTCTGCAATGCTTGGCCACGCAAGGCCGGCAAAGGGGTCTACCGTCATCGACGGTCCCCTATCTAATCTAAAGATTACTGTACCTCAAACTGAGGCCATTTGGGCCAGCTGAGTTACTCAGACCCGATGCCTCGTACGGAGGTCAAAACCGAAGTCCGGTGAAGTTCCTGGTTGTTCCTGCTTTGGGGCGTCCACCCGTCAGACCGTGAATCGTCGTCTTGAACTCCTTCATCCTGGAGGAAAAAGACGCCACTGGTTCTCCTTCATCCTTCATGGCTGACAACTCCAAAGGACCTCAGTCAGTGTCAGGAGGTCACTGAGGTCACCTGGAAAACCTGAGCCCCCGCGCTCTGAGCCCTGCCGAGCCCCCGCACTCTTCCCAGGCTTTGCGAAGGCGCCCTACCCGATGGATCCCGGGGCACGGACCCAGCTCCAACGGAAGCGGCCGCGATGAGGACGGGTCCGCCGGTGAGGTTCGGGTGAAGAGGTTCGGGTGAACGGTGAGGCCATTCACACGGCACACTCGAAGAATTCTGCGGACGTCTACATGCCATCCTTGAGGATAAGCGCAGATGTGGGAGAATGTCGTGGCTGGATGAGCATGTGAGATTTTGACGCCGAACACGACGCCTTAGTACAGAAGCCCAGGTGGATTTGGCCACCTCCGATGCCGATTGGTCGTCCAGGATAGCCATCGGAAGTACCTGGACCATCCGACCATCTGGGTGTCCGGACGGCTGCAGATCCCAGCCAGGACACTCAGATGGTCGGATGGTCCTTGCACATCGCTCGGAGGAAGAAATCAAGCCTGGCAGAAAAACAGAGCCGCAGAGCCGAGCCGTAATTCACGGATGGAGCGTAAGGGGCACATAGGAGACTGATCAAGCTATGAGGACCACGAGGTCTGATTTCTCCACACAGCACCAAGGCGTATTGTATCGAAATCTCGTGCCTGAAGGGTTCCGTCTCCTTACATCAATGCTTCCCTTTTCGAAAAGGAGATACAGTAAGTACTCCGAGAAGTTTTTTGAATGTGGGATCCCCTCGGTCATCTCATTTCAAGTTCATCTCGTCATATCACATATAATTTCCCTTGTTTTGGTCTTCCAGTCGACTCAGAATGATGAAGAAGACTACAAGGACCCAGCAATAAGACAATTAACCACAGACAGACAGACAGACAGACAGACAGACAGACAGACAGACAGACA